TGATTATCGTATTCGATGTAAATTCTGCCAAGTTCGTTATCGTTGACACATTTTTGATGAACCCATGCTGACTTTCGACACAAAACCAATGGATTCACAATCATTGCCTCTCGCACATCTCGTCGTTCTTATAACAGCTCTCGCTTGCTCTTCATGGTTACAATTTTCGTCAGTAGCTGGCCAATCATCTGGCATACACCATACACACATCTTGAAACGATGGCTCAATGTTTCCACAGGGAATGGTCGAAAACAACGTGCGCACATTTTTGATGTTCTGTACTCGTTCACCATTTTAACCACATTTCCCTTCATTTTCTTGAAACTTTTTATCATTTTTCTATTGCCTGGACATCTTATGTTCTTTTTTATCTTTATCGGCGAGTTCGGCGATATTTGAGCTGCTCCCATGATGCATGGCTTGCGATTTGTCTATTGCGAAACAAGGATCAATTTAATTCAATTTTTAACCACATATGTACTATGTTCTTACCATCATGGCAGCAATCTTATCGCATACACGATTTGATTCAATGTATTTATCGAATTGTTCGGTCGTGTAGCCGGGTATACTTTTCGGTCGTGTGTACTGCAACACACAAGAGAAAAACCCAACAAATTATTTTAGGATCCCTATTAAAAAAATGAATTTGTAAGGTTTCCTTATAAAATCGCAATATTTTAACAGGAATCCTAATAAATTGGCGCGTCCAAACGTCAAAGCCAACTTCACTGTGTTGAAACAAAACATTTTTATTATTTAAAGGTTTCCTGATAAAATGTTCCAATATTATAAGGAAACCTTACAAATTAATATTTTAATAGGAATCCTAAAATAATTTGTCAGGCTTATTTTTTGTGTGAATGGCTCTCTTCATAATTGTCAGACGATGAGTTATGTAATCTTTCCAGTTTTCTGACTTTGGATTCGGCATTCGCTCGTAACGAGTTCGGTTATTTCGATCATTCTGTTCAAATGCAACAAACTGACGCATCCATCATTTGGCTTTTGAGTTTCGCACTCCTTGTTTTGTCATATAGTGGTACTTTTTGCTACTTATTTTAAAATTCATCTGTAAGCGAAAAAGAAACAACATATTTGATAGAATAATTTATTACATGATAAAAATGGGATGCCTTTTTGAGAAATCACATACCTCTTTACCCGAGTCAATATGTCGTCGGACCGTAGCATTCCAGGTTTTCATTCCTGGTAACCATTTTGATTTGGTAACACCCAGTCTTCAGGAATTCTATCGCGGTTGTCTTGCATCCAATTGTGATAACGATCTTGCTTGCATCTCAAGCCACATTGGCAACGATGAGAACTAATTTTCTTTTGTATCTTTTGCGATGTTGTCGTCAGCTGGTCCGCCAATGTCTCTTGCACAACTCAGCAAGCGATAGCATTTCTTCAATCTGTCAACATTATCACAGGTTGAATTGTAACGATAGATTGCCCAATTTACTGCATTTTTTATATCAATGTCATCAAAAACGTTGTCTGGATCAACATTGTCCCCGTTGAATTCCCAAACTTTCAAACTTAAAAACTCATTAAGACGTTTTTCATCATGTGTGGTGAGGTTGGTTATGACATATCGTGCGTACTGTTGATACTTGTACGTAGGTTGCTCCATAATTTTTTTTAAAATGGTACTTATAGTGTT